GATCATATCTGACAATCAGTCTCAATTTACCTCTAACCAGTTTCAAACTTTCGGTCAAGTACTTACGCTCGCCACCATACCACCCGCAGGCGAACGGCAAGCAGAAATGTTTGTGGATACGTTTAAAAGAGCATTGGTTAGGTCAAAAGCGGAGGGGACACCAGCCGACGCGCTACAAAATTTCTTGTACGTCTATTGAACAACACCAACTGAGTTGTTACCGGAGCAAAAGTCCCAAGCAGAAATCCTGGTGGGAAGAAGACCGAAAACAATCCACAGCCTGATGCACCAAATTAATGAATCACCACCAGTAGAGACAAAGTCAGAAAGGCAATCCACGTACTAAGTGGGATTCCTTGTGTTCGCCAGTGACTACAGAACAAACCATCTTCCTTGAACAGAAGCTCGAGAATTCAGAAGAGTTGGGCGAGTTATGTACGAAGTAGAGGTAGGAGACAAAAGGGGGTCACGCCATTGAAATCAGATACTCAAACGGCTAGCCCCAGATCACCCATCAGCAGGAATAAATCTCCCCCTTGACATCCTGCTAGATACCTTCAACTTACCGGCAGCACCACCACGAGAAGTAACTCAGCAACAAGCTGATCTAATTTCCAGAAGGTATACTCAAAGACAGCGGCGAACAATAGTCAAGATGCGAGCCGACCTCAGGAACGCACGCTATTAAAAAGGGGTGGAGTGTAGCGGACGTAGGATCCTTAGAACTCGTTTGACATGCCTTAATTTGGATTTTACGTTTCCGAGCATGGGCTGATCAATTGACATTGATATCACTTTTCCTGGAAAATCCTAGACTGGTTGATGGATTATTTTAGTATGCTATTCTCCTGCCCCTCCCAAGGACGTTTTTATCATGTATAAATAAACTCGATTTGTGTGTTTGTCAACATCACATTTTCTGGGTGCTTGTAAAATACAATTTCTACGCCTTATCAGGACTTCTTCGGGATCAATCGAATCTGAACAGGCTATTATATCTTAGCTCTCGTTTACCGACTAAGGTGAACTCGTAATAGTTTCAAGCATATCAATTTACTTTTTCGTGGACAGGACCCCTTCTAAAGATAGTCTTTGTTGTCCAACCTGTTTTCAATGTCTCACTGATTCAAATAACATGAATTCATTTCGGCAACAAATTGCATGGTTCCTCTGGTCTCCAACAATCTTCGAACATTCCAAGTGCCTAAATTAATGGTTGCTCTGGTTTCTAGAAGGGGGATCGACATCTACACTTCCAAAGGAACTAGGTCTTCATCATGAGACTTCATAACTCTTCCAAATGAAGACCTTTCAACTTCCAGGGCAGAGTTTAAACGGTCTGAATTATTTTTTAGGTTAGCGCTTTTTCAGTGATTTGGTTGTTTATGGGATGGGGTTGCTGACCTTCCTCATGCTTCGAACTCAAAGTAACTCCAGAGGGGCTGCAGGCGGAGCTTTAATGAGTCATATTCAGCATATATAATTAGCGGTTCCACAGTAATGTCTAGACAACTTTCTGACTGTTCTTAGCAGTAAGGATAGTTGACTAGTTCGTTAACAGACCTATGTATGCGGTTTGATGCTACACGCAAACGTAAACACTAATTACGTAAGCTAATTACCAAATGTTACAAATAATATACAATAATTTTGTAAATTTGAGTATACCACCTCCCGCATTGAACTCTCTTACTGATGGATTCTTTATCTTCAATTTGCTTTTACCAAGCTTGGTGGCACACTCGTCGTGTTTTAGGCTCTCTCTAGAGCTGCTGTTTGTCGCATATCTACATGATAACGTCATAAATTTACGCATATTTGACTGTCAATAGAGATTTTCACTCAGAAAACTACCGAAATCTAGAGAACTTTCTATCGTCCCGCTAATTTGGCAACTTATACAGTAAGACATAAAAATTTTCCCTGCAGAAATGTTCATGTATTTGGGTGATTTCCAAAGCAGATAGTGTCTGCACAAATTGATACAACTTATCACTTTTAGTATTTAAGTATTTACACTCTATTTCATTGCTATAGTTAAGGAAACTGAATATGAGTATTGAACATTAGTTGAAGTGATCATTTGTCTTAGAAATTCAGAGGTGGATACTTGTATCTAATCAATAGCAACGTAGAACTTCGTACGTACTTACATCCGTTCAAATTGTCATATCACATTAGCACAGAGATGTAATTGTCAATTCAAATCGCATCGTAGTAGAGGTAGTAAAAGTATTTAGAAGTAATCAAAGAGGTTTGTGTTCAAAGATGTTATTTAAGAAATATAATTCAGTGAGGTAAATTTAGAAAGAGAAAGATAGAAGTGATGATGAATTCAAAAGGACACAAAGAATAAATGCACCTATACCATTGTAAACGGCTTTGAGCCATGTCATTCAGGGTCTATAACCATCGATTATTATCATCTCGCAGATCCTAACGACATAACTGAGTCCACTTGTCAGTGACTGCATGGATTTCTGCCTACTTAAACTTATCATGGCTAATAACAACAACAACAACGAATGCTAACAAATAACTTACAGTCCGGAAATTTATTCATGTGCTTATGCTTAATCTTACACTTTCATTATATTAAGCAAATCTCATACCTGATAACTAACTCTATATTTATTCTTTAAGGTGGACTTGAGTAATTAACTTAGTTGACTAAAGCGGGTGGGGGGTGTGTGTGTGGTTAGAGTGCACACTTTTGATCCGTTGCAAATCTTCAATAAATGTGAATTAAGTTGCATAAATAGTCATTCCGTTGTTGGTTTGTTTGTTTTATTTATTTTTTTCATGTTTTGTAACGCGTCTAAGTGAAAAAATATTAAAACTGAAATAATAATAACTATTCAACGATTAGGAATAAAGAATCATATAATTTATCTGAAACCAAAAGGGATACTACCCCTAACTCAGGTCTCATATGGTCGAAAAATGAAAATTTCGGAAACGCGAAAAAATCATTGCCCGACATGAGACAAAGGGTAGTAGAAGTGTTTGGGCCTATTTGCATCAAGCTGGGCTGCCTCTTCTACTATCCTGCGCCATATATGTGTACACCATGTGCTATACTGCTATATAGAGCTGAAGGTCTCCTATGAGACCAGAGGTTCGCAGTGTATATTGTGGATGGCTTGGCTTTGCTTTGGTAAGCATCGCTAACAGTCCATATACAAAATTGGTTAGCAGCGTGACCGATTTCATTGATATAGGTGGTTGTTTTGCGACATTCCCGAGAGGCATTGTCATTGGCGTGCTGTATTACATATCACCATTGCTAATAATAATGAGTTTGACAGCCATGTAAGCGGGATGGGTCAAAATGGCCTGTTCATGCGGTGCATATTGATTGACGCGACCATTGATCGGAAATATATATACCATTGTGTGTATATGAAATGGTGTGAATGGTCCACTAGGGTATCAGGTACCTATGTGGTTGCACCACAGGATTGAGCCGAACTGTTCATGTAGTAATGGTAAAACGTGTCCAGTCTCTTTGGTTCTCCTGAAAACCAATGTAAAATTGCCCTTGACAATACAGGGTAAATTTATATAATATAAAATAATTTATCTAAAACCAAATATAAAAGGAAGCAATACTTAAAAATTTATCGAAATTCACCTTCTTTTTTGTTGTTGTTAAGATTTCTACTATCCTTGTAGAATTTTGCTTGTGTTATCTCTACAGATTGTTTTAAAAAACAAATATATTTGTAAGAGATTTTTACAGAATCATATTTTTAAACATTCTATTGTGTACATGAAACAAAATAAACATATATATATATATATATATATATATATATATATATATAATAAAATCACTTTACAGTATACATTCTAAATAAGTATCATAACTATAGAGATAAAGCATTAAAAATAAAGTATGTGAAAAGTTTGTCGTCTTTTGTCGATGTGAATAAAACACTGTTGCTTTTGCTTCACAAGTGTAGTCAACAATTTTGCATATGTGACACACAACAACACAGGTACTGTTTTTTTTAAATTAATTTAAGAATGAGTTGATTATGTCAGTTGACTACTTTAGTATATTCAACTAAACTACTGATAATTTGTCTAACAGTATTTACCTAATTGGATTTTTTAATCATCCTCATTGACAAAATCGATAAAATATATAAGTAAGGTGGAAAGAAAAAACAATCATAGAAAATAAAAATGGAAAAGATGTCAAAGATGGGCAAACAATCACGTCAAGGATTGAATGGAAACGAGAATAAGAAATATCTATTTGATATACTTCTAAGACAGGGGGTATCGGCGGCCTGACATAAATGACAATGTTATATGTATTGATTTATGAGAGAAGTAATGAAGTAGAAGTAGAAGAAGAAGAGTTCAAACTTTACAGTTTTATCAACAAAAGGTTTGGTTATAATCAATGTATTCATATAAATATTCTGTTTTACTGAATATAACAAATGAAAATAATAAACAGTTATCAATGACTATTCATAACAATGAGTAGGTTGAGAATAAAAATTCAAGTGGAAATAATCAATAACCATCCAGTGAATGAAATCAATTACTGGACATACACATCCAAGAAAAAAAAACAACCTGTGACTGCCAGCAGCAGTACAACTGAACTGTTTTAATTTTCAGGGGGGGCGAAAAAAGCACACAACACTCATAACACACACACACACAAAGAAATGGTACAAGAGATTGATTGATACAAACAGAACAGGGCAATAAAAACAAAAGAAAGGGTATTTCTATTTTCGAAAAACAAAAAAAAATGCAGACAATTAAAACAAAGATAAAAAATTGATCATTTAAAACAGAAGTTTGAAAAAAAAACAAAACAAAACAAAACAAAAGTATACAGAATTTATTATATGTTATGTATGATTTGGTTACAAAAGATGAGATCTATTTTAAGGTGAAGTGGATGCATGAATGATGATTCTATTATTTTGATAATTTTATATTGATATATATATATATATAAATAGATAAATATTCTTTCAATGAAATTGTGAATTTTTCTCTAAAACATGGTATCCATTTGGTTGATTGTAAAGAGATTAGATGAAATTGCTATTGTATTGTGCGACGAATTGTAGTATGTTTATGATACAATTAACTATAATATATATAGAGAGAGAGAATAAAAGGAAAAACACAATTATCATCAATTCAGTGGGAGTAATACACTGTGAAGGCAATAATAATAGTCATAGATAACACATTGCTAATGGACAAGTTACTGAATGTTACATAATTTATGAAAGTTCTAGAATAGTATCAACATCAAGTTTCTATACACAGTCTCTACACACAGTGTAACAAAAATACAACATTTAAGTCAACAAGTCATAATAAAACACTTAGGCGGAATATATGTAGTGAACACTGATACTAACTATTAATCAACGACAATTTAATAATATCAAAGCGTAATGTTGTATTAATTACTGAATAATTGGTATAGCAATGCTTTTATAAAAAAGAAACATAACTTCAATTTGTAAATCAGTCCTTCGCAAATGAATCAACTGGAATTGGTGTTCTTCATAACTAACACTGAGAGGTGGGTAGAGCACTTTAAGGAACTCGTAAATTGATTAGCCTCACTGAACCCACCCAAAAAAGATTCAGCATCCGTGGACCTCGCAATCATTGTTGGCCCACCACAATTGAGGAGATCGGCATGGTCAGCAGCAAAGCAGCTGGACCAGACAACATTCCAGTAGAGGTAATGAAAGCAGACGTAGCAGCAACTGCAAAAATTATTCCACATTCTCTTCAAAAAGATTTGGGATGAAAAGTACCAAAAAGATTGTAAACAAGACACCTCATCACCAAAGTAAGGCGATCTCAGAAAGTGTAAGAACTACAGAGGCATCAATCTTCTCTCAATACCAGGAAAAGTCTTCATCGGAGTGTTGTTAAACAGAATGAAAGATTCAGTAGATGCCGAACTTCAATGTCAGCAGGCTGAGTTACAAGACAAGCCTTCATCTGGAATCCTCGAGGTCAACGGAAAAGAGGAAGGCCAAGGAACACAGTACGCCGAGAAATGGAGACGGACATGGGAAAAATGAACAACAATTAGACAAAGCTAGAAAGGAAGTCCCCAGGATAGAGTAGGCTGGAGAATTCTGGTCAACGGCCTACGCTGCATTACGGGTAACAGACGAAAGTAAAAATGTAAGTAATCACTGACACCATGTTTAAGACCGATACAGGTATCCTTAGCAAAATTAAATCAGATATGATTAATGTTTTCAAGTAGGATGAACTTCAGTGAATCAAAAAATATGATGAAACACACAACGCAAAAATTTAGTGCACATGTCAAACACGAGTTAATCAAAATCAACTTAACCTAGTATTCAAAAGTGCAGATGATATGTTCAAACGAGAAAATGAAATAACCAACAGCCGTGAACGATCCTAGTTTAGTTTCCCGAAGAATCATGTTGGAATTTTTTTAATAATTACAAGTAAAACAAAAAAAAATTACCCTATTAGATTTTAAAATAATCAGTTTTTAATAAACTCAAGTTTGAAAGTGCCATGACATTTATCTATATGAATAAACATCATTTTAATCGAACTACTGATGACTAGTAAGTAGTTAAGATCAATGTAAGAAAATATTGCATAATTGTCCTAATAGAATTCGTTACTAATACTAGATTCAAGTGTATATGATATTGATTAATGAAGGAAAACATGTACAACATAAGGCATCTTAATATCAAAGGTTTGTTTAGATTAGCTAACAGGTGACCACAACAATAATTATTTGTCAGGTAAATTCATCATGAAACCAATCGTTATCCTATTCAGTTCTCCAGTAGTTCTTCCTTTCTAATCTGTTAGTCGAAATTATATGACGATCAAATATACAGCGTTTAGTCATATAGTCTACTTTTAGCAGCTACATGTGACTTATTTGCTGTTTCAAATAGACCTGCATAAACAAGTAATATTGACATAAAGTGATGTATAACACAGTCAATCAGTCAATGAAATAATGAACTTCACTCTTACAAATTCAACTGGGTGCTTATTTTTTTTCGAGGCTCTCTGACTGAATGTTGTTCAAAATGAAAACGAAAGTGTCAAGCTCAAACTAATTAGCTGAGATAAAGAAACATCCAATACACTTCAATAGAGTAACTTCTTAAAACCTGAATAGTATAGTTGAAATACAATTAAGTTCCAGTGATACCTTCTACTGTTACTTAAGAAGAAAATAGTGAATACATCTTCAGCTCAGAAATTTACATGAATTACAATCAATCTATGAATAATGGTGAATGTAATGTATTGAAACAAACAATTTCTACAAATTCGCAAAATTAAAATACAACTAACTCTCTCTATATATAAAGTATACTTTGAATATATAAAACATTATATCAATATCAAATAAAATTGTATTATATTACTAACTTGAAAATGACAGATCCAGATAGTAGCTGGCTGATGATTTATAATGACAATGTATCATTACCATTATCATTTGTGAAATTCGTCAATCCAATGAAGCTAGTTTGATAGTGTTGATGATGATGATGATGATTAGAGAATAGGTGGTGGAACATGAGTTGATGCTTTATTAGCATTCATATTATTGTTATTATTATTATTACTATTACTACTACTACCATTACTACTACTAATACTGCCACTGTAACTATTACTCTGATGATGATGATAATTACTGTTATTGATTAAATGGAAGCTAGGACTTTCTTTCTTTGAAATTGATCGAACCACAAGACCGGGATGATGATGATGATGATGACTGTCACTATTATTATTACTACTACTATTAGTACCATCAGCACCGATTGAACAATCTGTATAATCATCATTTCGATGTTTTGTTATGCCAAGTGTAAAGCTTCGACTCATGTGTTGTTGTTGTTCACGAGGACTGTTTACTTTTGGTAAGTTTGATGCTGCAGGTGTTGATGATTCTGTTGAATTTATTGTGCTATTAATGTTACCATTATTATTAGTAGTATTATTGACAGTACATGTTGGATGTAATGAATAAGACATCAATGTAGGAATATAAGATTGATGTGATGGCAATAATGAATACTCATGATTATTATTATTATTATTATTATTATTATTACTATTATTATTAGGATGATTATTAACAGATGAACTTTCAATAGGACATGATTTCAATGAATTTTGAACACAAATTGAAGATTTTGAACGAACATGAGAAATTTGATGATCGGATGGTGGTGTTAAATTGATAAATCTTATTGGTATAGCTAAATTTGTACTTGGACTTGTTGATATACTCGGTGAAACAGCTGCATAGAGTGTTTGATTATCAGGAAGGGAAAACAAACAAACAAACAAACGTTTGAAAATGCAAAATTTATTTAGTTGGCTTATTTCAATAATGAATGTGTTACAACACATGCACGTAAGCACGTCAACTTGATATACTTGAACTATTACGAGTATATCTTAGTCGGAATACGAGAGCGAGGATCGAGGATCCGGTGACACGACATGCTACTCTAATCCGATTATCCCAACCCTCATATTGAGTAAAACTAAGAAGACTTGATATGAAGTAGAACGTGTATTCTACAAGCATCCAGAAAGTACGAGGTGCGAGTCCAGAAGAGAATCAGGATCCCAGACTAGTAGGGATCCGGGACCGGGTACTGATCTTGGTCCTGGTCGTGGTCATAAAACGTTATAGATAATGCGTATATATACATTTTAGTCGAATAGGAAACGGCATTGAAGTCTGTGACATTGACAGTTAAGACGACCATAAAATTGACCAGTAGGAATTAACCAATAGGAATAGACCAATAATTCTCTTAGGATATTGGATGAATATCCTAACAGAATGTTTTCTTTTCTAATCATCTAAACCATTAGATGTTAGATTAGTGGTCTAGATATGTCAACCGGTCGTCAAGCAACATGAAATCCCTGAATTCGATTCTTGATGAAGTCGCAGGTTGGCATTGATGAACTGATGCGTCTCAAAAAAGTAATAGCTAGTCTGTGCCTCATGGTGTTCAATAGTTGCGTAACTAAGATCGTTATGTGGACACTTTTCTGTGAAAATTGTATTTCCTTTTTTTTTTTTTATACTCATTGCATTCACATACTACAAAGAGGAGCATTTTCGAAAAGTGCAACAGAAAATTGAACACGATCTTTATTAAAATAAAACTGATAGGCAATATCCAGTATTATAAATGAGTATATTACTTTGAGGATAAGAAAGTAACAACAAATAATGATAAAGGAATTTTGGCTTACATTGTAAAGGACCACATCCATGCACAGAAATACAACGTCCTGTTGTGGATGAAGGTAATGTTGTTGTTGTTGTAGTAGATGGTATTGTTGATGCAGTTGATAATTCTTGATTGAAAGATTTACGAGGGATGTTCGGTGTTGAAGATACAGTAGATTTTAACAATTTCATAGTTAACAAAATATATTCCATCCATTGTTCTTTATCTTGTACAGTGTTTGCACGTAATAAATAAACCCCGACAGCTTTAGCACATTGTGGTAAAGGATAATCATTGTTTTCTAGATGACATGCATGCAATTTAATCTATGCACAAAATGGGATTAAATAAAAACAGAAAAAAAAAGATATTCACAAATTAAACTTGTAAAAAAGAAATAGAGAGAGAGAGAGAGAGACGGAAGAGATTGAATAATTTCAAACATTTTCCACAAATCACCCTATACCAAATGGTAATCATGTATTAAACTAGTGCATAGCTTCAAGATGCAACTACTCCTGGAGATTTAGTTAAGAAGCAGTGACTAGTTCAGACATGTTGGGGATGTGAGACGGGGTAATACAAGATAGTCGCGCAATATCTCAGCTTAATAGTCTGCAGGTTAAGTGTTCACGCGGGAGTCAAAAGGTCTTAGGGTTGGATTCACAGATACGGGGTTATTTATAGAAACACACTGCTAAAGAGTCAGTCAGTCCTATACTAGGATGAAATATCTATTCAGAGCTCTCAGATTATCAATGATGGTTTTAGCCAAGATCAATTCATAATTTTACAATATTTCATAATTTTGCTTTTATGATTTTATTGGTACATTTCTGATGATTCTAGTATTCTATTATTTTTTTTGTATATTTTCAAAATTTTTATGATCGAAAAAGATACCAGTTAGACTATTTGTTGTTTCTTCATAGTTATTGTCTATGTGCGTGTGAGTGTTTTTTAAATTGAAAAATTCCATAGACAAGTGGTATGAACAATAGTTTTGATGCATTTCGATGATGAATTGTTGTCATTCACAAAAATAAGAAAATATTATTTCAAATCAAAATGAAACGTGTATGTATTGTAAACGCAACTATACACATACGCAGAGATATGAGAATTCACTGTTCAAGATTTCAATAGACCACGGTGAGAAACAAAATAATTACACATAATATATATGATTGTAATCGATTGCTAGTCATGTCAATTCATGAGAATTTGTGATTTCAGACACTGAGAACAACTAAAACGTTTTCCTTAATTTGCCTGTAATTTGTTTTAGTGTCTTAGATACTTCAGCAGGCTATAACACGTCACATGGAACACATAGCCGTGATAACATAATTAATGGAAGTTCACAATCTTATACGATATCTTAACTTAATGACCCAAACACCTTAAAACAACATCTTTTTGCTGAAAAACGATCAATACTGATGGCCTGAAATGATTTAAAGAGTGACAGTGCAATCCAATGTCAACCAATCATAATGTAGCTGATGTAGAAGAGTTGAATACTACGAAGAACATGATACAGCTACAAAGGATGCAGAGTTTTAGAATGTCTTACTTACGGTGTTAGGGCCAAACTCTAAAACTATATTTTCAGTTAGAGTTTTGGAGATTTGTGTTTTTACACATTTGAGAATCATCAATCAATCATTGTCACTAGACCACCATTAGAAACCTGGAAGCACTGGACGGCCGTTTCGTCCTGGTATGGGACTCATCAGTGGCAGTGCGCATCCACGACTCCTGCACCTCGCAGGATGAGTCCCATACCAGGACGAAACGGCCGTCTAGTGCTTCCAGGTTTTTAATAGTGGTCTAACAATGATTGATTGATAATTTCAAATGTCTAAAACTATAATTCAAAAAATTAGAATGAAGGTTGTGTGGACGACAGATAACTTCGATCTTACAAAAAGCATCGCTTCAAAAAAATTTATTTGACTAGCAGGTATTGGCACTGTGTAGCACGCAACCTTGACCTAGACTTTATACTTCATCTATATGTCCTTTTGTTGACCACAACTACATAAGATGTTATTTCGTAACAACTCAGTGATCAATGGTGATGTCATCATTCAAATGAGACAAGTACCAAGTCAAAAATTATTATATTTATTCTAATCAATTCGTGATTGCAAATCTCCCTTTACTAAATTAATAGTTATCAACTTTATCAATAAATTCATCGGTTTAAAAGCAAGGGGATGAATGAACATTTTAAAAGTTTGATTTCTCAACCCTTAGTAAGGTCATATGTGTAAACTCATGAAAAATGTCACACTAAGGCAAAACAGATCTACAGTATCTTCCGGTTTCATATGGTTACTTATTAAACTCTTACTTGACAATCTGTACACTGATAAGACACAGGAGGATGAAATACACCGGAGCATGAATTTTGACAAAGATCACAAGTTGCATATGATCTAAAAAGAATACGTTGTAGAACATGTCCTTTCGTGTAAATTGTACTTGATTCTGCATTATGAAGTGATGATTCATTAGACAATGAATTTATTTGACGCTCAACAGTAGCATTTTCAATATGATTCGAACGTTTATTAGATGAATTGGACACGGAATGTGCATGTGAATTGGACATTGAATCAGCGCGTACAACAACACGTCGTGAATTTGATGGATGAGGACTAGATGTAGAAAATAGTACAGACGATCCAAAACTAGATTTACGCGGTTGAGATGCAGAATCACCTATAATAAATATGATAGGAAATAAAGACCGTTCTTTATACATACATAAGCAAAACTATCTATCTATCTATCTATATATATATATATATATATATATATATATATATATATATTGTTTATATAGAAAGAGGTTACTGTACTATAAAAAATCAAACTATGTAGTTAAATTCATAAAATCTATGTGAACGGATATATAATTTTGTATACTGAATTCTCAAAAGAAAGTCATAGAATATTGTTTAAAAATCCCTAATATATTTGTTGAAAAAAAATAAAATATCTATGTAAAGTAAATTATATATAGGGTAATGATACTTTAAAAAGAACAATAGAGAGTACTAAGTGTGCATAGGTTCATAGTTTATTTACTTATCCTTACTGCATTAAAGACTTTTACTCCATTAGGTTATTTTGAAACCTAGGTACGTTTGAATAGGGTTTGAACAAGTAACTCAATGTGATGTGGTTTATGTATACAGAGGAATAATAAGTTTAAAGTTCTGCTACAGTTCATTTGTGAAGTGTAACTGTGTTATAAAAACTATCATTATTTTGTGACCCTAATAACATGAATTTGTATGTAACTCGATAAATATGGCCTTATTGATAAAAAAAAGTATGTGAAGTGCAAGATTTCTTTAAATTCACTGCTTTCGTCATGAAAGACAAATGTGTTTAGGTAGGTCTTTGTGAAAAATCATCATTAGCAGAGTCAACCAAGTCCAGAGTTGGACAATAACTCATTAATATGTCTTGATGAGGATTTTACAAACAGGCTAACTTCGGGACTGTAGATTGTGCGATTTTGACTCATGTTTACCTAAAGGTCTGAAGGTTATGTGGTGGGATTATAGGGAAACACTGATGAGCAGTTCCAAAAACAGCATTTTATTGCTCTCTTTGTCTCACTGGCGTCAATTTATGGTGAAAATTACTTCTAAATTGTCAAAAACATCATGTGACAACTAAAAGAAGCTATGAAAAATAAAAATAGCCTTTCTTAAAATAAAAAAAACATATACTCCTTTTTTAAGGTGGTAAAAATAGTAATTGAAAGATGATATGTCAATCAACAGATTGAACCAACTACTTTTCAATGCAAGATCCCATGTTGTTCTGGTTAATCAGCCTCAAGCTTTTATTTTTATAAAGCTATGGACATTGCTCAGTTTCATCGAAATCATGAATTATTGATCGATCACAGGTCGTTGGGTCTCTTTCAGGTCCTAAGATCCGACTCCTGCATTCGGAAGTCATGGATGCGTACTGCTGATGAGTCCAATGTTAGAATAAAATGGCCATGTAGTGCTTCCACGTTTCTAATTAATGGTCTAACATTGATCGATTCGCGATTTCAGTTTGCTAATTAATCTATTATCTACAACTATTTGCATGAATTAGGTTTTATCAACTACTGGTTGTTTTTAATGTGTATAAAGCAGTAAGTCATGAGTAGTATATCTAGTAGAATGTTTTAACTATGACGAAATTGGTGATAACAAAATGGATGAAAAATGGGTAGAAGTTGCTTTTGTTTGGTACACAAGAATATAAACATATATATATATATATATGCTAAATATTATATGTATGTCAAATTGACTAAGTCACATGAAAGAATTGATTATCACAAAATACTGGCTCATAGTTTTGATTTTATTTTTTTTAAAACAATATGAAATGAATTATCATTCACTTAAAATTGGGTTAATACAGAATGTGAAAAATTACAAAAGTAAAGTTATATAATGAAGATCCAATTTAACCTGCTTAACAAAATATCAATATGTGATATTTTTTGTTTTACATACAAAATGAAACATTTCACTTTAAACAATTTGTAATTCATCGGTGACCAATTGCTTATGTTACAGAAAAGCGGTGGAAAATTTCTCCTATTTAGTTGATATAATGATGAGAAAACAATCTTATTTGTGTATATGTAGTCTATAAAATTGATATGGTCGTCAATTGATATGCTTGTAACTAATACGAGTTCACCTTACTCGGTAAACGGTAGCACAGACAAATGATCCAGTGACACAATAGGCTATTCTAATCCGTTGTCCTAGGCCCTGCTAACTGTATCAAGAAGTCCTGATAAGGCATAGAAAAGCATATTCTACAAACACCCAGAAAATATGAGGTTGAGAAGCACACAAATTACGTTTATTCATACATGATAGAAACGTCCTTGAGACAGTCACAAAAATAGCACACTAAAATACACAGCAGCCAATCACAGCCATGGATTTTCCTGGTGGGAAATGAAATCTCAAGGTCAACTGAGCAGCCTGTGCGCGAAAACGCAAAAATTAGGACCTTTTTCAAGTAAGTCCTAGGGGATCTAACGTCCGCAACAAAATTTGTATATGTTTTAAGAAAAAAAAATCATCATCTGGCACTGCTACTACTACTACGACTACTTTCAAAGACATGAAATGGATTGAGAAATGCAAAGAATTCCAATAAATACTTTTTTTTCCCTAATTCGTTTCAATCAGTAATCACAAGAAAACAATTTTTTAGAATTTATTGTCAATCGTATGTCTAATCACACATCATTCATATATCCAAATTAAAAAAAACACACAAGTTACGTATAAAGTCAATAAGAAAAATTATTGATTGAAACTTTGTTAATCATGATGGCGGCGGAGTACAATTTACTAGTGAATTGTGCATACATCAAAGTGAATATGAGAAATTGAATCTTCAGTATGAATAATGATATTGTGTTTATTTCAAAACTCCATGATTTTACAAACGATTACAATCTTACGAGAACTGATGATGAACAAATGAAAGTAAACAGAAAATATAATTGGATTTAAACCAAGTACCCTATACACTTTTAAATATATACGTTTATTGAATAAGCTAGTAATGGTGAAATAATCTAACTCAAGAGCAAAATGTTTCTTTTTTATCTCAATAACAGTGACAATTTTTTTTTGTGGAGATTTTTCAATATGAAGTCAGTTTTTTCTTGATCTATGATGAAAAATAAGTTCAAACTAAACAATTCATAAATCTTCTACATAATTAGTAGTCATATGTTTTCACTAATGGTTAACTTGAAACAAAGAGTTCCAACCAGATTGGAATCATTTAGATAATAACACAGAAAATAGATGATGATCATGTTGTGCAACGAACTGACTGGAGTTGGAATGGTGTGAACTGTTTGATTTGCAAAGTGATTTATCGCGTTCATCAATGGATTAAAATGTCTCCAACTCGAGCATCGGTGGAGCACAAACGGACTATCCGAAAGTCTGAAACCAGCTTGGTACACATTTATTCAATATTTTGTGATTATTAAACAGTTTTGCAGACAAGTTATTAGTTCATGCTGTTGACGGGACGTAAGTTCTGGATTTCACTCCATCTTATCTTATGTCGTAATAGCTTGATCGAGTGAGGCGAACCGAATAGAAAGCATAAATGTCAACTAAGACTAATCGGATTTCAGTTGAAATATGAACAACAGATTAATCTGAATCATTTTAAATCGAGTTAACTTTTAATATATCAATTTACTCATATATAATATAAACAGAAAAACAGACAGACCAAAAAAGTATCATTAATATTTACCTGTAAGATTTATATTTGACATTTTGCCAACATTACTGACTGCATTACCACTTGAAGATTGTTTCATACCTCCAGTGTGTATGTTACTACTAGAATTATTGTTATTACTAACATTAATCCTACTAGTAGTATTAGTACTAGTACTACTACTACCACCACAATTACTCAAGTATTGACGATCATAGATAATCTGGAAAACACGAGGTAAATCTTCAACACGTTCATGGCATACATCACATGAATTCACTGAACGTACATGATATAATGCATTTAATGGCATTTCTAAACGTATATTTAAATTATTCATATTTGCACTGACTGTAGATGCAACAAAATTCGATACAACTAAATATTTATTTTGTAATTCATGTACACGTTTGCATAAATCACTTGGTATATCCCATAAAATTAAATGAGTTCGTGATAGCTGAATAAAATATATATAAAATGTAGAAATCAATAGAAGAAATTATATGATAAGAATATTAACAATTAAACTAATATTTTCTTTTTTAAAAATCAATACGGAAAGAGTTAATCAGTGAAACTTTCAGTTAATAAATTATATACACAATCTCATATGTGTTAGGATATTCATCAAATATCCTAAAGAAATAATTTTGTGAGTCTAATTCTATTAGTCAATTCCTATTGGTCAATATTTAAGGTCGTCCTAACTATCAAGTTCACATACTTTAAATGTTGTTTCCTATTGGTTAGTATTCACGCTCGATCTAACTGTATAAATATGGATTGTTTGTAAAGTTTTATGCTCCTCATCTTCTTCTGTACAAAACCTCATATTTTCTGGGTGCTTGTAGAATACACTTTCTACGCCATATCAAGACTTTTTGATACCGTTATTGGGGGCTTTCGACGCTCGAATTAGATTAGTCTATCGTGTTACTGGATCATTTGTCTTCGCTGTCGTTTACCGACTAAGGTGAACTCGTAATAGTTTCAAGCATATCAATCTGACGATTATAACGATATGATAGGATCTTTGGAAGTAAATTGATTTTATAAATGAATAAAATCTATTAAAATAATTGATAACTGGTGAAATCATAGCATGTATAATATACTATTGTGGAAATTGTTTGAAGCAAATATGCACAAAACTACACTAAATTAAATATGAAGACATATCTTCAACTATAGAGAACCATTTTGAACTAACATATTCAATTACCTAATCAAGACTGTATGTCTAGAGATGGTGGAGGAAATTTGTAGCTTAAGTGGATGGTTGAGATGGTTTTTGGTTCTCTGAGCTAGATGCGTTGGTTTTGGAGCCTTTCATTGTTTTTTTTTTGAACAACGACATCATCAGAACAAACTACAGTTAGAAGTAAAGTAATCTAGATTAGGTAAACAGAAAAATACGACCACCACATGATTCTCTTATAGTACTTATGTAAAATTTACTTTCTAATTTGAAGTTTATGTGCAGTAGTTACTTTAAAGTTGTCAGCACCATAGTGGAGATGCCTAAGAAGAAAACTAGATTAGTAATCTTGATGCATTGAAAGCATGATATCAGACCTTGAAGGTTGGTCACCTACAGTTTTTCTGTGAGTAGTTACCGATATATTAGCTCGACACTTTACAGGCCATGTCATCAACTATGGAAATTCATGAAGGCAGATGATGTGTCGTTTTTAGGGTCGACTTTTTGTCATTTCGCTCTTTTTGAAAAGAAAACATCGCTAAAGATTCTGGTTACCTGAGGAAAACATCTATTTCGATGTCACAGGATAGAACAGTAAACATCGTAACCAATTTTCAATCGAGCTTAGAGAACGGATAATCCAGCTACTACAGCTCAACCACTTTGTCACTATAGACAAGCTAGTCCACCATTTCATGATAATGGCTAAATTCATGAATGAACTCTGCATTTACCATATTAAAACATGAAAAACTCGATAACCATAATGACGATAAGAACGCAAACAAATTGTATTCACCTGTGCAAAACATGATTCCCAATGTAGCTTATTCCGTTTACCACGTTTTGGTCCAACTTCAAGGATACCATAGAATTTGAAATCATTTAATAAAGGATCATCAATAGTAGGTGATGTATAAGAAGATAATAATTCAGTAGAATTACGAGAGTTATTCATTGAAGTTTTTAAATGACTACTACTATTATTAATATTAGTAGTAGTATTACCACAATTACTGACAATAGGATACTTTAGACCAGATTCATATGAAACAGATGAATGGGGCTAAAAATAAAGTAAATTATAAAAATAATTTTTTCTGATGAAAATAATAAAATTATAGAAATAAATATTGAACAATTTCTCGTTAAAATAACATAATACACTATCTCCTACACCAATATTAATACAATCTAATCTACAGGAACACCTCTAATTAGCGTATTCATAATACTATTGTAAGTGAAACAATAGTCTCATACGGAATCTTCTCTCCATTATGAATTACTTTGCTAGCAAATTTGGAAAAACATTGAAATAGTTGGTTGCAATCTCTTCATTGATAGTTACTTCCTCTATGAAGCTGCCTGTGATTTTCACTGGTGAAAGTCTTATCAAATTCACATTCACGAAGGATATTTTTGCGTTCAGACAATCATTTGGTTAATTTTATCAATTAAAACAATCTCAATTTAAATCATTTGAACAACTTTAATACTTTATCTAATAACCAGCTGCTTTATGTTTTCACTTTTTTATTTCTTCTCTAATTTGTCAATCAATACAATCACTAGTCTAGAATGCCAATAGAAATAGAAATTTATTCAATATATTAAACATTGACAAGATATTCAATTACTCAATACTGATCAAAAATAACGGAATAAATTAATTGTAATATTGAGCATTGTTAAAAATGTTTCATTTATCGACTTGTAAAAATACATACACATATTACTTAATCGTTCTAGAACCATAGCAACCCAAAGGGCAGATTTTTTTTCTATTTCATTGTAAACTAGCAACAATTGACCAGAAAAAAAAAATAATGAGATTTATGTATTGATGATGTTGATGCATAATACATAATTCAATAAGTGCCAGTGACTGTTTCAGAATATTTTCTCGACCACTAATCAACAAATTTCCCTTTATCATGCACTCTTGAATATGTACTAGAACAGACCATCTAAACGCGCATGAAAATGTAAAAATTCCCCCAATTTCTTTAACTCAAAATGTGTAAGATGGTTATATATATATATATATATTTTTAAGTGGTTTCATGTAATACCATCACTATTGTGGTGTGTACATCAAAGGATCTTCAACTGGCAACAGATATGAAATGATTATTCAGCTACTCTAGTCAGTACGTACAGGGTATCGACCTTAGAGAACTACTTACAGTTTCTACATGAACACTATGTATCTAATCTACAACTTAATCACTTGCCGGTTCCACTTTAGATGTGGTAACATTGTATCTTACAATTTGTTCAGTCTATGATAATCGTTGTCTACGAACGATCAAGATAATTCTGATACGAATGAAGTCTACTACGAGCTGACACTTATGGTTCCTCAACAATGAAACACAGAAAAGGAAAACAGGCTGCAGTATAGATGAAAATTTGATATTTAATAAAAGACAAACTGCAATGGAACAACTTTTTGTTCATGTAAGTCACAAACATGACGAACTAAAAGTGTCAACGACTAATCACGGGGGGGGGGGGGGTAACAAAAGTTGGACAGAGATAAGAATTTAACGATTAACTGTTCGGACAGTTATCGTTACAATCAAGAACTAATACATATTCACAAAAACTAGATAATCTGAGATCTTAACGTGAGAAGACTATAGATTAACTGCTTTTATTATTATTATTATCTAAAACGAGAGTCGAATAAATAACAAACTGAGTACATTAGTCATTATTTAGAATCAAATTCAAATTAACTATGCACAACTACTTATCTTGATGATACTTTATTAACTTGTACATTCAATTTTAGTTTGAACGTCCATTCAATTATTCAATTAATTATACTTAACTTATCATTTTAATAGAATATCAAACAAAAGCAAGAAATAATTTCATTGAAAACTAATAACATAAGATTAAAGTAACTTACTGTCGATGGTATAGTAGAATTAGGACGTATGGCACTAAATGATTTACTCAATGTAAAATCACAATCATTAGTATTGTTATGCATATTAGTAATGATATTATCATTGTTACTTTTAGGATTATTATTGTTTGCTAAACTAGACGAGATATCAGATATGTGAATAGATTTATTAAATGATGCGTCATTACGATGATTATATTGATTCGATGGTGGCTGCTGCTGCTGCTGTTGGTGTTGTTGATGATGTGGCAATCCAAACGATTCATCATTCTCTAGACCTTGTTGTGATAATGAATTTGTCATGGAAACAGTATTATGTAATTGTTCTCGAAGTGAAGCCAATTCTAATTCCATTGACATGGTATGCAATTGATTTGAGTGTAACTTACTTTCATACTTGAAGAAGAAAAACAACACACAATAAATAAATTATGTACGATTACAAAAAAGGAAGTAGGAAAGAAAGTGTAAATGAAATTTCAACGTAAACAAATCGATCAGTTGATTTTTTTATTCGATTTCAATATAACAACATTATTCTGAGCATCGTCAATAAACTTCCTGAAAAAAATATTTTAAATTATTCAATAAAAACTTTAAATGTTGAATTTCGAATCATACATGAAGATTTAAATGCATGACTTGATACTACTACTACTTGTGAGATGTAGTTACCAACATGAATAGCAGAGTAATAGTATTGATATAAACAGTAATAAGAAAGATTAGAGACTTGGAAAAGATTTGAGAAGTAAGAATGGATACAGGGAATCACACGTGGAAAGTAATGATGAAACTCAAGATCACAGGAGAAACAATGAACGAGTGCATTAACAATCATTGTGATTTATCTGATAACATGAAACTCAATTTAAAGTCAATACACTAAATTTTATAAGAAATTGAAAACACTGAGCTCATAAAAAGAAAGTTACATAATACATGTACTTGTTCCATTTACACAATTCATACAATAATATAATCTGCAGATTGATGAGAGTTAGACATTACCACCATTAGATACCGGCTCAGTGGTCCAGAGGTTAGGCGTTTGCACGCGAAACCGAAGGTCCTGGGTTCAAATCCTGAGAGGTGCAGGAGTCGTGGATGCGCACTGCTGGTGAGTCCCATACCAGGACGAAACGGCCGTTCAGTGTTTCCAGGTTTCTAATGGTGGTCTAACAATGACTGATTGATGAATTCAATGTACAATAATACAAACGTTTATATTTAGCTGAAGAGGCTGATAACAAATAGTCAGATCGTCCTAATGTGTACTCATCTTTTCATTGGCTTTCCCCTCCTCTCTGATTAATAATCCTTCATGTTAGGCTGACACTTAGGGCACGGTGATTGCGATTACTGACTTCTATTGATGGAAATTTACGGGTATAATTAGAAACATTCATTAATAAGTGGTTAACCTGTATTTTAAAATGTGTCCACATCTAATTGGGAACACATTTTTTGTTGCCTGTAATAATTCGTTAGTAATTAGCTACAAATAGTGCATTGTTGTAACCTGATTAACTGAAATCTATCTGTTTCGATTGGATATCAAAATTCACAATTTTCTTTACATTTGAATTTTTCTTTTTTATTCTATAAGACGATAAGTAAGTAAGTTCAGAAAAATCAACAAAATTTGAAAGCTATATGATACAACTATTTGTTAATACATATTGAAATCAAAAATGGATCACATACAAACGAAACTTAATTTACATTCTTACACATTTGAAATCATAAATCAATGATTGTTAGATCACCATTAGAAACCTGGAAGCACTGGATGGTCATCTTGTCCTGGTATGGCACTTATCAGCAGTGCGCATCCACGACTCCCACCATTTACGGGGGTTGAAACCAGGATCTTCGTTCTTGTGCCTGAAAGCTTAAACTCTGTACCACTGGGCCGGCATCCAACGGTGTTAATGTCTAGCTCTGATTGATCTAGGGATTTAGGTAGTTACTGCCTACACCCGACAGTGTTGAACTCCATTGGTCACGTCTTCTCACTAGAAGTTCGAAAATTTACCCACGAAGCTAGTCACTAGTAAGCTTATTTTACGATTTTTCAATTCGCGTTATGGAGATTATTGTTTTTACACATTTCAAATCATCATTCAATTTATATTCCCATTACGTCAACTGAAATCAGGGATTATCACGACAAGAGAAAATTTGTAAAAAGAAACATTTTGATGATTACGCGCATTTAGGCTAATAATAATAATTCTCATATGTGTTGAAAACAACATAAATAAAAACGCTGGTATGATGATCGTGTAAATGCATTACGCGGTCGAGCAGATTGTTTAGTTACACATTTGAAATCATGAATCGTTCAATGTTAGACCACTATTAGAAACCTGGAAGTACTGGAGGGCCGGTTTCGCCCTGGTATGGGACTCATCAACAGAGTGCATCCACAACTCCTGCACCTCGCAGAATTCGAATCCAGCACATTCGGTCTTGAGCGCGCGAATGCCTAATATAAATGGTGTATCTGATTTTTCATAATGAATGAATCAGAAATTGTTGAATGAATTACAATTTACACTATGACAAATAAATTAAGTAATTATGTGAAAGAAGCCGAAAAAGTATACATTTATTTAGAGAATTATTTTTTGTTTATTCATGTACTATGTTTTATGAAAAAAAAAAACAAAACATTAGTGCCTATTATCAAATTCATGTATTATAAATAGTAGTGTTTTAAGTAAAGAAGGCGTCAATCAATCGGAATATGATTTTATATTCACAAATATTCATTCTAGTTTATAATTCAATCAACAATGTGTGTTTTGACATTAATTTTATATTGTGTGTTATCAATATTCAAATTATTTTCAATAACAAATTATCCATAAAGTAGCTTATATGAAAGAAATTTTTTATGTGAATCAAATTAAATATAACCGAAAGTTGTTAAAAACAAAAAAATGGTTATAAAATGGTTGTTATAATTAAAGATATATATGCTTTGGATGATGAGAATTACTGATCGCCTATCTTTGCATCAGTAGTTATGATGATGACAAAAGTTAATCTGTGTACATCGAATCGTGTTAATCAGTAGTAACTATTATCTGAAAACAGTAGAATATATAAGTTGTATAGTGAGTGATAAATATTTCAGTGATATATATGTATATGGATACATAGATTTTACCTTATGCAATGTTAGTAGTATTTGTATTGGTGTAAGTGTACTTTTTATAATTATTCATAGCCACTTACAATGATGATAACAATAACTATGAGCTGTAATGCTATAAAATTGTACAGGATTTGGTTTTGCTTACAACATGTGTTTATTAATGATCAGTATATGCTTGTGGTAGAAGTGGACTTCTTTAAGATTTTTATTAAGGAAATCATTGGAAGTATCGTATTTTCTTTTAAATCCAATACAGATTTTCGCCAACCAGCTAGAAATAAATCATTCGCTTGGGAGTATGATTGTTTATTGTAATAAACAGTCAATCAGTCAGTTATAATGTATAACTTCGTACGCAAGTACATCAGTTCACGTTTCCATACTGCATTAGCACAGAGACGCCACTGTCAGTTCAAACCACATAGTGGTGGAGATACTAGAAGAATTAACGGTAAGGGAGAATATTAGGGATCGAAGATATTATTCAAGAAGTATAATTCAGTGAGATCAATTCAATAAGATAAAGATAGAGATGATGAGGAATTCTGAAGGTTAGAATTTGAGAGAACACAAAGAATGAATGCACCTGTGCCATTGAAAACGATTTTGAGCCATGTCATTCAAGGTCTCTAATCATCTGTGACTTTCGTCTCTCAGACACCAACCAGGTAGACGACACCTACCGACATGACTCAGTCCAGTTGTTAGTGACTTCATGGATTTATACCATGTTTTGGTTTGGCCGCCCCTAACATACTCCTACACCACAAAACATAGCTCGTAGAGGCAGTCGATGGTTGAGGGCATTCGTAACACATGTCCCAACCACCTCAACTGATGAAGTTTCACTACTTCATCAATTGATCTGCCATCCCTACCTAGTACTCGTTTCCTAACGACAGCATTGCTTACACGGTTGTAATAAATAACGAAATAATTGTCAATGTTTTTCTTAACAAAATAAATCTAAATCACTGGAAACGAATACCATTTTATTTGGGCTGTTAACGAGAAAATTAAATTTGAATATTCTAATAACGATTAAGCACAGAATGATGAGTCACTGACAAAAACAAACGGATAATGATTGCTTCATGGTGTTTTTGGTTTTCTTTTTTTTTTGTTCTTGAAATTGACAAATATTCCTTAAGGAAAAAACAAATTTGAAAAAGTAACACGTAAAATGCAAATTTGCAAAGCTCTCTATATACATATTGACTGGATTAAAATGCATTATTGTTCATTTCTTATTTTTCTACGCATGAATCATTTCACAGCAGAAGCTGTAATAGGTTATCTGTGTGAAAATTTTTTTTTATTTTGAAACGATTGAAATTTTAGATAATACCAAACGGTTTTGTTTGACTAATTTGTCTGGATTTTATCAAGGCACAAGGAGTGAGATTATTTCAATCATAATTTTTTTGTTTTTCATAAATAATGTTTTCTATACATTTGGCATCGAATTTTTGTTGAACTATTCTTTCAATATTGGATGAATATTTTTATAAAATATTATTTGCGAATACAGAAGGCTCGATCGGCTTTTGCCAACATGCGTCATTTATAGCGTAGGCGATATAGCCGTTTACTAACCAAAGGACGAGTGTGCTGTGCAGTAGTTCGCTTCATCCCACTTTATAGCTGTGAAACATGGCCAGTGAAAGTAGAAGATATTCGTAGGTTACTGGTTTTCGATCATAGGTGTCTCCGAAGCATTGCTCGTGTAACATGGGACAACCGAGTAGGCAACGCTGTCGTAAGGAAACGAGTACTAAGTAAGGATAGCAGGTCAAAAGATGAAGTGGTTGGGACATTTGTTACGTATGCCCGACCACCGACTGACTCGACGAGCAATATTTTGTGGTGTGGGAATGGGTTGGAAGAAATTTAGGGGTGGCCAAACCAAAACATGGCAGAAACCGATAAAGTCACTAACAAGTGGAATAAGCTATGTCGGTAGATGTAGACTACCTGGTTGGGATCCGCGAGACGAAAGTCACCAATGGTTAGAGACCTTGAACGACATGGCTCAAAATCGTTTGCAATGGCACAGGTGCATTCAATCTTTGTGTTCTCTAGAATTCCAGTCCCCAGAATTCCACATCACCTCTATCTTTATCTTTCTAAATTTATCTCACTGAAATATACTTCCTGAATAATGTCTTCGATCCCTAATATTCTCCTTTACCGCTAATTCTTCTACTTTCTCCACCACTATGCAATTTGAATTGACAGTGACGTCTCTGTGCTGATGCTGTATGGCAACATGAACTGATGTACGTACGTACGAAGTTCTGCATTGCTATTGATTGATTAATTGATTTATAAAATATTTTGTAATGGAAGCTGTAATAGTTTCATACTACAAGATAACTGTTTATTACTTTTATTTAAATCATAGTTTATCATTATCATATATTAATTACACTAAGTCAAATGTAAGTAAAGGACTACTCATATTGGTTTGAATAATGTCTAACCGACATTCTTTACGCTAAAAGTTGATGGGATTTTGAATGTACTTTTTGTTACTGCAGGAACTATCCTTGCATAATTGTCCAGAACAATTTTAAGCAAATTTCAACACTTAATTGAACGTCTGAAGGAAGGTGAATTGAAAGAGTGGTGCTGTAATAGTTAGGTGAATGAAGGTAACAGAGATTGGTATGGTCATTAGATTTATTTCCAAGGTCACTATTAAGAAAAACGGGAACTAAATTTATTCATAAGAGTAGTCAAACTGGTTTGAGTAGTTGAAGTAATGAAAAATTACTGCATCTCATTATCTATCTTCATCTGATACACTCAAAATCCAGCTAAGGATATAATGTGACTTTGCAGATTACCATTATCTAATATTTCATATATTTAATATATATATATATATATATATATATATATATATATATATATATATATATATATATATACAATTATCCTGACGGATCGGTTTGTGAACACACTGTGTCGTACACAGAAGACATGCTGTTGATTCAGCAGTGTCAGTAAACCCTACAGTAAATATTAAATCCTAAATGGTAGTAAGGATTGGTAGACTAAGTAACTAGTGTTCGTTAAATTAAATAACGTTTATAAAAATCATAGTGGTGTAAATATTATTGATCCTCAAAATTGAAACAATAATGTTCAATCATTCAATTGCAAAAAAAAAACAACAGATTTTAAGACGCCTTCCGTTTTAATCTATAAACAATAAATAATTTACACTAATTTTTTTTTCCTAAATTTTTATTCTAAATCAATTCGGTGAATAAAAAAAAAGATTGTGTTGTTTACATAAAAATAAGTTTTGATGTAGGATGAGGTATAAACCCAACAGATATTTCATTGACATAAATATATAGGCATTTTATTGACATATACAGATTTCAACTGGCTTCACTTGTCAGAAAACCATTTATTTAACTTCTTGAAACATGAATCTAATCACAGTTTTATATATATGTATATATATTAGCGAAATCATAAAACTGAGATAAACACTTGACAATGAATGATGGAATAAATGAACGAAATAGATAAACAGACGATATCACATTAATCAATATTCAATGTACATCTGTAAATCAGCAATCAAAAACAACAAGAATTAGTAAAACAAAAATTTCTACGGTGAATATCTTTAACAGCAGAAGAAAAAATCAATAACCAGCTTGATTAATCACAGAAACATGTCATTCAATAGATATTTAGAATTAGTTACCGTCAAATGCTTCAATCAATGTCAACTTAGAAGAAAAATATAGAAAAGAGGAATAAGTAGAAATAAGAAATACTTAAACACAATATGAAGATGTGTTAGGAGTACGCTAAATTTACACAGTGCATATATACGGTTCCTGAATATAAATGCCTGAATAATTCCTGCTAATCATATATTGCAGTTGGATAATATGGTGAGTTATTCATACCCATCATACAACATGAAAAAGCATTTTCTTCACATATTTTTACAAGACAATATTACTGTCAAAACAGTTCTACTGTATGGGGCGGAAACTCGGAGAACTACCGAAGCCATTATCCAAAGGATACAAGTGCTTATTAACAGTTGTCCACTCAAAATACTTCGGATTCACTTGCCAGACACTATCAGCAACAAACTACTGTGGGAGAGAACAAACTAGCTTCCTCAAGTTGAGGCAAAAATCATGAAGAAGTGCTGGAAGTAGTGGAAAGGACACACATTAAGGAAAGCACCTAACTGTATCACAGAGTAGGCTCTCACCTGTAATCTTCAAGGCGAACGGAAAGAAAACAAAAATTTCTACTGTGAATATCTTCAACAGCAGAAAAAATCAGTAACTAGCATGATTGATCACAGTAACATGTAATTCAACGGATTTTTAGAATCACTTATTGTCAAATACTTTAATCAATGTGGGAAGTAGACAATCACAATTAAAACGGGGGATAAGATCGACTTTTAAAACGTTGTAGTATAGAAAATTTCAAGGACAAATTTTCGGGTTCATAGAAGTCTTGTCTATTAGCAAGTTTAAGTACTCTTTTTTTTGTTAAAAGAAAAAATTAACTGTGATTGCTGAATTTGCCCTAATGATCTTTAAGGTATTTTATAGATTAGGGTAGTGAGACGATTCCCTATATATTTTTTTCATACTTTATTGATAATTCTTACTTTATTTGGTTGACGTCTTTTGATAATTTTCACATAAAATGCTTTGACAAATATATTTATGTGACTTGATTGTTTGAAATACCTATATTGGTGCAAATATATCAGAATTTTTCTTCAAATCGAATTCCTCTTCTCATCGGTTTTGTTTGTTTTCAAAAGACTTACCTGATTAGAGACAAAAAATCTAAAAACTAAGATTATAACAAACAAAAAGAGGTAAGAAAAAAAATTAACAGTTATGCAATCCCAGTTGAACGTTGACAATATCAGGTATTATTTCTAAAGAACAGAAAAAAAAATACAAGCCGAACATTTTCAAAAAGTGCGGCGAAGCAAATTTGATGATACACTTGAAAAGTGAAGACTACAGGTAAAGGATCACAGAAATTAGGAGAGACAAATCAACTTCACATGTAAAAGTGAGAAGTAGAATACATGAATATGATATGCACACTCATTCTGAGTAGTTACTGTCTACACCCGAACAGGTTGAACTTCACTACCGAAGAGAGTGTGTGAGGTTGCGCAACTGCGTAAATTGATCGAAGTTAGACAATAACACCGTTAGATACCGACTCAGTGGTCCAGAGGTTAGGTGTCCGCGCGCAAAACCAAAGGTCATGGGTTCGAATCCTGAGAAGTGCAGGAGTCATGGTTGAGCACTGCTGATGAGTCCCATACCAGGGCAAAACGGACGTCCAGAGATTCAAGGTTTCTCATGGTGGTCTAACAATGATAGATTCATGATTTCAAATATTCATTTTCTTAAATAAGTAAATAGATAAGATTTTTATGAACAGAAAAAATAATATTTCACATTTTACTTTGGTTTCCAATGGAACATTTTGATTCATGAACCGTATCAAGACAAAAATGCGTTTAATTTTTCCTCTGCTAAACCTTCCATTTACAAATTAATTTAATAAATAAATAAATTAATTAATTAACTAGTTAAGAAGAAAACGCTAAACATTATGAAAATATAAATAAACTCAAGTCATATAGCATACTTCTTTTCGTAATGTAGACAATTCGTCATTCAATCGATTAATTTCCGATATTAATCGTTTATTTTCTTTATGACGTTGATTCAATTGTAAAGTCATTCGTTTCTGTTGACCTAAACCTTTCAAATTGGCTACTTTACTACGAGCTGAATTGGAGCCAAGAGAAAATGGACTAACAGTTCTACCGCCATTTTCTTGTTCTTGTTGTTGTTGAAAGCTAGCAAGCCACATTAATTCTAATGTATCCGGATTTTTGCCAGACATAACCTGCCAAACAAAAAAAAATCAGGCAAAGAATAAATATACAGATGAGAAGTGTAGAGAAACTACTCATTTACTGGCGAAAAAAAATTAACTGATAGTAATAATAGAAATAACTTGTATCATTTAATAAAGTTTACACAACCTGGATATCTAGACCGAATTTTTACATGTATTCATTTTTTTTTCACTATCTAAGATTCAAGTTTCTATTCTTAAGATTTAAAATAAGAAATATGTCATCTAGTTATTTGAGGTCTAGTGGAATTCAGAATCCGATCAAACATAAGAAAAGAATAAAATATCAGTAACTAATTCAATCAATGAACAGCAACGTGGAACTTCGTATGTAAGTACATCAGTTCATGTTGCCATACCTCATTAGCACAGAGATGTAATTGACAATTGAAATCCCATATTGGTAGAGATAGTAGAAGTGATAGCAGTAATGGAGAAAATTAGGGTTCGAAGATATAATTCGAGGAGAATAATTCAGTGAGATAAGTTTAGAAAGAGAAAGAGATGATAAGGAATTCAGAAGATTACGATTTGAGAGAACAGAAGGAATGAATTCACTTGCACCATTGTAAACCATTTTGAGCCATGTCATTCAGGGTCTCTAACCATCGATTATTATCATCTCGTGGGCCCCAACAAGTAGTTGGCATCCATTTACATGACTCAGTCCAGTTGTTAGTGACTTCATGCATTTGAGCCATGATTCGATTTGGTCGCTTGTAGTTTTCTTCCAACTTATTCTTACATCGCAGTCTGTAACTGGAAGCTCAACTAGTAAATTTGACAAAAACTAATTACATAAATGCAATAACCGAAATTTCGTAGAACAGATGGCATATCTGACTGTGGCAGTAGATGACATAGAGTTGTGGACATCTACCAGTGTAATAGTTCCCTTGAGGTTGTGAAAGTGTTTACGCAAAAGTTTATTCAAAGACATACAATTGTTTCTAGAGTAAAATTAAAATGAAAATAGTAGAAACAAGTCAGAATATTAAAAATTATCCGTACTGAAATACTGACTGAACAGATTATGATTAGGCCGAAGAAAACATGTGTCGAACGAGGAGTAGTTGGTTGGGGAATGCTGATCGGTGTGTGATGAGTCACGACTGACTGTTTCTAGTCGGACAAAAATAGACCAGTTGTCATAAGCGCGGTAAGAAAGCACACACACACAAACTCAAATAAAAACAACCAAGGTTATAAGCGAATAATTGACAAGGTCGAAAGATAACTGCATAACTCGAGAAGAGTGAATTAATCAATTTGTCTACAGGCTAGGACAAGCCCTGAGGGCTCGACGTATGTGCACACATTACAATGTACTTTACAGTTTTCAGAATTCGATCGTAATTTATGGGTAGTACACAGTCAATATATCCACCAGCGACTATCTCCAATCAGTGACTGTTGTTCTATCGTATAAATCAAACAGGAACTATTTATTGAATGTATAAAGTAAAGTTGAACTGATATTTTTCTTCGCATATTTGAAGAGTTTTCTTTCTCCTACAGAAATTAACAACTGTCATTTTATTTACAAACACATTCGTGAAATCGAACTGTCCCACTATCATTAATCGTAATATTGTTAGCGCTCGATTATGAAATCTAGATTTGAATAATATCTGATTCACAAAAGAAATCGCAAATACATTTTATGTAAACTAATTATAAAATATAACAATCAAAAACTGATGTTGTATGCAACTGACTTAAACTGCTAAACAAAGTTTTAACAGATAGAATTTCTAACTAAAATCAGTTTAAAATATATTTTAGCTCAAAGAGCATGAAAGTATAGGAATCTATTTAAACTCAATATTATAAATAAGCTTAGAGTAAGAAGATACTTAAGTAAAACAAAGCATGATAATCAAAAAGAACTTCGATTAGTAACAAATAGACCGATATGATATATTTTAACTTAAATGATGAAAGCGAGCTCGACACACCATTACTTGTAACCGTTAGAGAAATATAAACATATATGAAAATTGTATAAGAACCTGTTTTTAAGAAAGGTATAGATGGATATGAGTTGATTTCTTATAAGGTATAAGATGTAGTGAAATTTTATACTGAATTTAAAAAAACAATCAAACACCTATTTTACAATTGTTAGGATATTCACCAAATATCCTACCAAGAATCATTTTGTAAGTGTAAATTCTATTGGTCGATTCCAGTTAGTGAATATTATGGTCATCCTAGCTATCAATGTCACGTACTTCAATGTTGTTTCTTATTAGTCGTCCTGACTATCAGTGTCACTTCAAATGTTTTTTTCCTATTATTCGCCTTAACTGTCAATGTCACAGACTTCGATGCTGTTTCCTATTCGAAGTAAATATATAAATATAAAAATACGCACTATCAGTAACGTTTTATGATCCGAACCCGCACCCGGATCCTTAGTCCGGGATCGTGATTCTCTTCTGGACTCGGGTCAAGTACTTTCTGGATACTTGTAGAATACATGTTCCACTTCATATCAAGTCTTCTTCTTTCATTCAATCGGGGTTTGGACATTCGGATTAGAGTATCATATCGTGTCGCCGGATCCTCGATCCTCGCTCTTGTTTTCCGACTAAGGTAAACTTGTGTTGGTTCAAGCATATCAAATTGACATGTTAACGTGCATGCGTGACAACAATATATACACACTTGAAACCATAGACATCTCGTTTTTCCCATCCACAATATAGTACAGGTTACATTGATATCAATTCAAAATCTATGATAGTTCAAAAAGAAACCAATAGATTGATAGTAAGTATGTGATTGGTTCGGACCTGAGATGGTAGACAATGCCTTAATCCAAAAAGAACCAATCAAATTTTATCCTAAACAAAATCTTACATAACCACCTAACGGTAAATATAGATTGGTAGGAAAATTATTTGCATACATTATCAATAAACCTTTTTGTGATTGATTCGAGAATGACATTTTAGAAAAGAGTTACATTGAATGCTAGGAGATGCGATATATATATATATATATATATATCAATATTGGTACGCAAAATTAATATGAGCTCATTAATTATCTAATATTTTCAGAACAATAAATTTTTTTCCCTTTTTGATTGAACCTTTCCGTCTACTATATTTGGAATAGTTGGATTTAGTGCAATATACTTTTTAGTCCTTTGACTGCACCATTCCAAGTGTTGTTTTTTATTGTTGTTCCGTTATATATATGCATATATATATATATATATATATATATATATATATAACAGAGAAACAACATATGACTAAAGCATTTTCCGCTCTTCAAAGAAAACAACTTTTTCTATCCTTTAGTTTTGTTGACATGATCAAAACGAATGAAAAACTAAGTGAAAAAATGTACATGATGAGTCAAGATAAAGGTATCTCATATGCGAAAACAATTTTACCAACGTAGTGTGTTTTGCTATCAACTGGAATGATTATTTTAAACTACCAATACAAATAAATGTTTCATAGAGTAGTTAATAGTTGAAAAGAAAGTTTAATGCAAGAATGTATAGGTTATAAATTATTAAATATCTCTTTCTTTAGTGTATGATGACTATTATTGCCTTCCCTTCAAATCAAATCAAGAGTAAACTGTATGCTGGGTTATGGTGAATTTGGGAGAAGAAAAAAACGAGGAATTTCATCCGCAATAGAAAAAAAAAACCCCAAGGATCAAGCTTTGATTTATTAAATTTGCTAATGACCTTTAAAAGAAAATGCATTTTTGGTATTTTGATGTTACTATTTGGATTCCGTTTTGTTGTTGTGGCAATAAAAGGTAGTTTATGCATAAATGTGTATTTTTGTCATATTAATTAATAATTTGATTTGTTGATTAGTTCGTAGTGAGTCATATAATGTCTAGCTCACATGATTTGTTCCACTTGTCTTTTGACCTTGTCAATCACTCGTCACTTTTATTCATGTGTGCGCACGCCTATCTCGCTTGTTTTACTATAAATTCTTGGTCATGCTTTATCTATTCGAATTGGCTAACCGGCCTTCGCCACTTAACTTTATTCACCTAGTCGTCAACTCGCTCGCCAGTGTGCTTGCCCTGCTCTATGTGTTTGTGGTCTGCTGGTCCATTTTGCCGAGTATCAAAAATAAACGTATTCAACCCCTCGAGTTTGCCTTTTGATTTATAACCGTCAGGCGCTATTTGGTGACGATTGCTTAGACGAGGAACACGTTGAATATCAATCGTCACGAAACTAGTGATACATTGGCCACCGCAAGTTAGTCATATATTCATTGAAAAGACTTTGTTTTTGTGCAAATCAGTTTACAAGCATAACTATGCCTTAACTAGAGACTGTTCTTATCCTACATGATTAAAGAGAGTTGGAAGAATCCGTGAATGATATACTTTTGTTAAATAAATAATGTGTAAGGCATTTCACAGTAACGTTTTCTCAATACATTTTCCAATTGAAGTTTAATGTTATTTGACTGATTAATACTATTATTACATTTAGTTTTTGCAATTTTCTCATGTCTCAAGGTTATATTTGTTGCTAAATAAGTAAAGTTGTACTACTATTACAGTTTCCGAATCTGTTGAGAATAAAAATGCACTTCTGAAAGCCTCAACTATGACTGTTGTAGTGTACTAGTTGTCCAACGTATCTAGTTTGAAAAGACCTGCGCCCCTTCATATTAAACGAACTTGTAAAATGTTTGTAATACATAATTACCACAGAACATCTCAAAGTAGAACAACAGCGATATAAGAATGATGAGGTTAATCAATGAATATAACAATTATTTACAAGATAATTACAATTGATAACAGAATCAAAAGTATTGACTAACCTCAGTTAATTTATTTACAGTGGCAGTACATTTTGTTTGTTCTTTTCTATAAGCTTGAGTCATTCGTTCAAGTTCAACGCGTAATTGAGCTACTTCACTGCTAGCGCATGCTGCACGTTGAGTTGCTGCATGAGCGCTTTCTTTGGCATTCTGTCGAAATTTGTGAAAAATGAATTACATGCAGTAAAAATGATATTTCTATGTGATGTTAACTTCTAGTTAACATGAAATACTTATATAAGCAAAATAAGTGAACATTACATAAAAAAGTGGCATATTTGAATGAATTGAGGGATCACAGTTCAAAACGGAATGCACCCAACTTTTTAACTGAAAATCTTCTGAACATGGGCTGTTCAATCAAAGACTGGCTCAGAGTTCAGTTATCTACACGGAATTCCGCCAAAAATAGTGAATTACCGTGTTATTAGCATTGTTGAAGCCCTAGTTATAATATTTTCAAAAGCTGGGACTGTATATACAAAAATATCTATATAATGTCTTCTTTATCATGATATTGACCTACAGTTTTCTGAAGCCATTACAATCTGATCTCTCGATTAGCATTGACCTTTCATTTCGAACAGATTTATTTTATGGATTGTGAAAAGTATATATTTAAAATAATCTGAACGATTAAGACTAAAATGATTTTAATGTTTTATCTATTTCAGTTCAGAACTCTTTCTGATTGTTACACAACCTCTTACTTCACAAATATTATTCCATCACCTGTGATATTCTTTAGGAATATTCATAATCTTATCAATCATATTTACAGATTTTTTTGGTGAAATTTTGCTATAATTAATAAATTACCATTGTCAACATGCAAAATGTTGATTGCATTACGGAGTTGTGAAAATTGTTAAGTTACACATTTGAAATCATGAATCGATTAATGTGAGACCAACACCATTAGGAACCGGGAAGCACTGGACGGCCGTTTTGTCCTGCTATGCAACTCGTCAGCAATGCGCATCCACAACTCGTGCACCTCGAAGGATCCGAACACAGGAACTTCGGTCCTGCGCGCGCGAACGCCTAACCTCTAGACTACTGAGCCGGTATCTAACGGTGTTAATCTCTAACATCAATCAATTCACAGTCTTGCGCAACCTCATACACGATGTCCGGTAGAAACTGTCTACAACAGAACAGGTTGAACTTCACTGATCACGACTTCTGACTAGAACTCGGAGGAACTTCTTCAAGGAGCAAGTCACTAATGAGCATATGATAATTTGCACTAGGAAAGTTTATAATTCTACTTAATTAATTAACTATGCATTAACAAATTATAAGTAGTATGATTATTCACACAAGATAATCTATGAACAAGGCAATAAGAACTAAAAAGAAATTATATGTCACTTATATCATACTACGTCTCTTCATATATATATAAATATATATATATTTATATATATATATATATCAAAATCCTTACACTTAAAATGTCAATATTTTATCAATCATTATCAATTTCACTTTATAACGGCTATAAATACTCCATGATAACTGTCAATTTGAAAAACTAAAAATAAAATTAGAATGACTTTGCTGCTTTTTTCTTTTTCTAGAGACAAAAAAAACAATATCATTGCATCTTCTGTTGTGTGTACACCTTTCTCTCTCTCTCTCTCTATCTATCTATCTTACTTCAACTACTTTATTGAAATATTTCAATTTTACAGTATAAAAAATAAACAGCAAAAAAAAACAACAACAACAACAATCGATCAGATGATTTTTTTTTTGCTTGTTTTTTTCGCCGAATAAGTACATGAACAGATATTCACTTCGGGTTTGTTTTTGTTTTGTTTGATAAAAATGTGACTTGACGTGTGTGTATTATTTCACTGGTAATGATGTAATTTGAATTTATTTATATATTTAACTAAATCATTCCATGTGCAAACAGCACTACAATGTGATCAAGTTGTGTAAGAGTAGGAGGATAAAGATTGAACCAGTAAAAGAAACAAGAAACACTGAAGGTTTAAGCAAGCCTTACTTATGATGCAGATAAATATATATATATATATATATATATATATATATATATATATATATATATATCTACATATTGTTGACAAGTATCATCAGTAATAATATGATTTTTGTTTTTATTGATAAAATACAATACATAAATTGACATAAAATATAAACAATAAACAGAAGAAATTGAAAAAAAAACAACAAAACAGTTGACCATTTTATGACTAGATACTATTGCTATCGAATACAAATATTTCTAAAGTAAGCCGCTGTGAACAAACTAACATAACACTCTGTTTGATGAGTGAATCAATTTTCACAAATCTAACAGAAGATTAAGAATTCAAGAAAATTAAGTTTCGTTGCAACCATAAACCGATCAATGTTTAGACCAGCATTAGAAACGTGGAAGCAGTGGATGGCTGTTTCGTCCAATTATGGGACTCACCAGTGGTGTGTATCCGTTCGATTGCAAAACAAGCAATTTATTAACTGTCTACTCTCACATATCATGTGGTTTTCAAAACACTTTAGTCATGCTACATATTGGAATCTGACACTCTTCACTGCGGTCGTAACTTCTGGTAGACACTTAGCTGAATACTACTTATAAGCTACGTTACGATTTACAACTACCGTACTAGGACGAAACGATCATCCGGTGCTTCCAGCTTTCCAATAGTGTTTTAACATTGACTGATAAATGATTTTGACGAAATTCGACAATCTCCACGAACCTATACTTAAAATAAATTTCCATTTAGCTTTATAAAAGTAAATATTTAGCGTCTATCATAATTAGATGGTTAGGTGTAATGAAGAAATTCCAATGTATTCACAAACTTTAATTTGTTCTTCTCATTTAAGGAATCTCAAGAATACCATCAAACTTCAGCCACAGACAGTTAAATTGCCTTCAACTACACGCAAAATTATTAATTTTGTTCAAATTTCATAAGACACTCGCAAAGTGATCGTTAATTAGTTAAGAAGAATCGAAACGGTTGATGGTGTTCAAATGTTTCAGCATAAACTAAGGGTTGAAAATACTGTACCGAATGACAACGAAACTTTATCGATTAAACTAAGCGATTCTAAAATAGCAGCTGCTTCAGAACTACCCACCTAAGCTCCAAGATTTCGTGTTAAAACATATTCATCACGGTAATTTATTTTGATCATTTAAAAAAAACCAAAGTATGTTCATATTTATTAATAACAATATAAATCATAATTTACTAACCTGTGCAGCTTCTAAATATCGTGCAGATTTTTGTTGTTCTTCATTAAGAGCTCTTAAAGCAGCTTCATATTTTTCACAAGCTCTTTGATTTGCTTTACAACTTTTAGCATAATGATCATGTAATAATTCAAGTTCACGAACCTACAATAGAAATATTAAAAAAAATAATTAATTACATATTTACTTAATGATAAAAAAATAAATGACAATAAGAATTAAAGTAAAGTAAACATTTAAATGTGCCGAAAAATAAATACATTTTTGTATCATAAAATGTTAAAAAGCAAAAAGAACGACTGATATTATCAACAAAAGGTTAGGTAAACACCGAAAATAGCTGGGTGGAAGAATTTCAAACAGTGAGTTTGGATGAGATGAATCTGTTTTTTTATATAGGCTATCAACTCCCTGGGAATACTGTTGGGGACGTTAGATCCCCAGAACTCACTTGATTAAAGTCCTAATTTTGGTGCATAGGCCGATCAGTTGACCTTGAGATTACATTTCTCACTCGGAAAATCCTTGACTGTTATTGGTTGATGGATTATTTTAGTGTGCTATTTTTGTGACTCTACAAAGGACGTTTCTATGATGTATAAATTAACTCGATTTGTGTGCTTGAAAACCTCGATTTTCTACGCCAAATCAAGACTACTTCGTCTAGTTAGTGAGGCCTTGGGATGCTCGGATTAGAGTAGCCTATCGTGTTGCCGGATCGTCGATCTTCTCTCTGTTTATCGATTAAGGTGAACTCGTAATAGTTTCAAGCATATCAATTGACGAGCATAACAAATAGTACATAAACACCTGGTTTAGTAAAAATAATCTAAATCAAGGGTATCGTGTTCATAGACTTCCAACCAACTAACATTATTAATAATAAACGAAAAAAAAATCAATCGTCAGATGATTTACAAGTAAATTTTCAATTAAAATTGTAATAATTTACACTATTTTAAGTTGTACTTGACAGAATTCAGTAAAGAGATAGACAGACAAGTAAAAAATACAGAGAAGAGAAAGAAATCAAAAGACAATGTAACGATTTAAGTGGCCATAATTGTTAGAACGCAGAGAATGGATATTAACAAGATCGAAAATAGAATCAGCCTGACTGAAATGATAAGTGGGTGGAGAAAGCAAGAGAGAAGGAGGAGGCAGCGGCAATAGCTAACAGTAACCAACTATTCAGACTTAACAAGGAAACCGGTATTAGGAATCCGACTGTTGGTAAGACCATCTCGGAAAAGCATGGGACTATTATTCATTCTAAATCCAGGAGATTGGATCGACGAGGAGAACACTTTGGGAAGCAGTTCAACCACAATTTAGTGACCCTGGATCTCAATTAAACTGAATGACGAACTGATGTAAGTCCTCCAACTCTTAATAAAGTTGGAAAGCCCAAAGGCAATCTTAGGCCAGGGAGAGCAACAGGTCCTCATAGATTAAATCTTGAGATTTTTCAAGGATGGTGGTCCAGTTTTTGCAGTTAGATTGACTCAGATCTAAAGTCGGATCTGGGAACTAGAAGAATCCCATCTGACCGATCTCAATCAATGGTTGTCCCAATTTATAAGAAAGGACAAAATTGGAAGAAAGCTAGGGGCGGTCAGACTAAAACATGGCAAAAATCCAAGAAATCGATGACAGGTAGAATGAGCCATGTTAGTAGGTGTAGACTACTTGATTGGGATCCGTGAGACAATAGTAATCGATGGTTAGAGACCTGGAATGACATGGCTCAAAATCGACTGTTTGTGTTCTCTCAGATTCAAATCCTCTGAATTCTTCGACTTCGACCTAAGACTTCGTGACTAAATGCCAAATACTTTCACAACAACAACAACTTCATGGTCGTACACAATCATATAATGTAAAATCAGAAAAATGTTTTTACACTACTGCACTAATCTTTACTAGCCAAGTCTCATTCAGTTAAATATAGACATTTTTTTCCTTCTGACTAATGATTTACACTTAACAGTGCGAAAAATGACCACTAAATCAAATCAGGAAAAAAAATAGAAGTGCAACTCAGAATTCTAATCATGCTCTTCTTAACATGACAGACAAATACACATTTACATCGAATACAGTTAGTTTTCCAACTGTTTAAAGAAATATCAATCATATAGAGAAAAAAATTAATTCTAGTATTGATATGAAACAAATTACTAATAGAATCGCAATAAGCATCATGATACTTTGCAGAAGGAAAAAAAAGACAACGAGAACAACAACAACAACGGATTATTGACATTATTGATTATTGAATAACAAAAAAGGGAGGAGGAGGACGAGGAGCAGGAGAAAAAGCTTCTGAAGAAAAATCAATACAACAAAAGATGATGATATGATGATATTGGAAATATTTAATTTAGTGAATTAATACTTGGAGAATGCATTTAAGACGAATAATTGTCAAACAGTAAGTGAAAACTGTGATAAGTATCTATCTCTTTATGCACAGTTGTTCAAATTGAACAAAAAAAATTAATCAACAACAAATCTGCATTTTCAATTAGAGCTTTTGAGATTTGTGTTTTTTCACACTTGAAATCATCAATCAATCATTGTTAGACCACCATGAGAAACCTGGAAACACTGGACGGCCGTTTCGTCCTGGTATGGGACTCATCAGTGGCAGTGCGCATCGACGACTCCTGAACCTCACAGGATTCGAACCCGGGACCTTCGGTATTGTGCGCGAACGCCTAACCATCGGACCACAGGGCCGGCATCCAACGGTGTTAATGTCTAACTCTGATTGATCTAGGGATTTTGCGCGACCTCACCCATTTGTCTACATTTATTTTTACGTTCTTATTTTTTTCATTTTGAATCGTACAAATTTACATAAATTTGGAAGATAACTTTTTGATCAAAGAGATATGTAACTTTATTTCCCATAGTGTGTAGATATTATTTTCTACATCTCTTATGAAAATTAAGTATATACACAGTCAGTACGTCAGTCAGTTACAACGAAGAACTTCGTACGTAGGTACATCAGTTTAGGTTGCAAGACCACATTAGCACAGAGACGCCACAGTCAATTCAAATCCCATAGTGTTAGAGATAGTTGAAGTATTAGCAGTAATGGAGAAGATTAGGGTTCGAAGATATGATTCAAGAAGTATTATTCAGTGAAATAGATTTGCGAAGAGAAAGATGGAAATGATGATAAATCCAGAACGTTAGTATTTGAGAGAACACAATGAAAAAATGTGCCTGCGCCATTGCAAACGATTTTGAGCCATGTCATTGAAGGTCTTCAACCATTGGTTACTACTGTCTCACGTACCCAAACCAGGTAGCCTACATCTTCCAACATGACTCAGTCCACTTGTAAATGACTTCATGAATTTCTGCCGTGTTTTGGTTTGGCCACTCCTAGCTTTCTTTCAACCTACTCTTGCACTACAAAACATAGTTCGACGAGACAGTCGGTGGTTGAGCATTCGTAACACATATCCCAACCACCTTAACACGAACACATGTAATTATTTCACCAATATATGTATAACATTATAATATTTACATAATTTACCTTTTCGTTTAATTGATCTGTTTTCTCGGCACATGTTTCTTTATATAAACGACTAAAATGTTTTTCTGCTTCCAATTGATCCACTGCTTCTTGAGCAGCTGTTTCAGCACGATGTGCACGTCTAGCCATTTCTTCCATTCGACTAATTAATAATTCTGTAGCGGTATTCGGATTATCCAATGAAGATTTATTCGTTTCAGGTAAATCAACATCACTATGATCTGATAAATTGTTTAAATCAAGATTTGAGCTTGAATTAATTAAATTGCTTGGATCACTGGTTACTACTGCTCCAGGTGATACAGCTACTACACGTGATAAACTATTTCGAGCACCTGAACGATCTAAACGATCGACTACCTCGACTGCACGACGAGCTAGTTGAGCAGTAGCTGTAGCAACAGCCAAATTGCCAGCTGTTTCAGCTGACTGTCTGGCTGCTTCTTCTGATTGTGCAAGAGACTTGAAAAGAAAAGAACGAAAATGAGAAATATAAAAATCGGGAATATATAGATCAAAGTCTGATTTGTTGATGATCTGAACTTATTATTATCAGGAATATTAAATGAACATGTAAACAAACAAATAATATTGGGCAATTAATATGCTGCTATAAAATCGTGAATCAACCAATGTTATACCAACATGAGAAACCTGGAAGCACTGGCTGACCTTATCGTCCTGATTTAGGACACATCGGTAGTGCGCATCCATGACTGCTGTAATTTACAGGGATTAAATCCAGGACTTTAGGTCTTGTGAACGAACACTTAACCTCTGGACCCCTGGGCTGGCATCTAATTGTGCTAATGTCTAAAATCGATCAATTCACGTTCTTACGTAACGTTATCCAATGTCTTCTGAGAGCGCTGATTCATACCCGAACAGGCCTGAACTTCACTGGTCACGACATATCACTAGAACTTTGGGGAACTTTCTTACGGAGCAAGTCACTAATGAGCACATGATAATTTGCATTATAGGGTTGTGGGGATTGTTGAGTTACTATGAAATCATGAATCGAACAATGTTCGATTAGCATTAGGAATCTGGAAGCAATGTTGATGAGTTCCATACCAGGACGGAACGGTCAGTCAGTGCTTCCAGGTTTCTAATGGTGGTCTAACATGGATCGATACATGATTTGAAAAAGTAACTCTAAAATGCAAATTTATATGTTGTAAATAGGAATATAAAATAATGTGAACTAGTTGATGTGAAGATCCTATAAGAGTGAAAAAAATTAATCGACTATAAAATAACGAATAATGGCTATTGAAATTGTCGTATTCATTTAAGTGAATTTTAAGGAAGTAAAAAAGACCCTCAACCGGTAAAACGAGTGCGAGTAAACTTAATAGTAATTTTGTAAAAAAGCAAAGTGACCGAAATACTCCATATCGTCAGATGACTCTGATATAATAATTTTAAGTTTTTGAGGAACAAGTTTGAAAAAAAGTGAATATGCATAGATTAGAAATAAAAAATTTTAATTCCATTGGATTGTAGTCCAAAAATATTTAACTTTCAGCTTTACGCTTCAAAAATCACAAGAAATTTTAGAGATATTTTTTGAAATCATTTTGAGTATAAACTATTTGATATAACGGATAGATTACAATCTTTTCCTCTCAGTGGTAGACTACGCTAGTACAATTGGACCGGGTGACAAAGTCGATAATACCGTTATAATGGATACTTAAACGACACACTACACAAAGTATAGATAAGATACGCAATTTACAACCAAAATAGATAACAAGAGTAACGCTAGACAATGTTATATTTCGTACACTACGAGTAGTCACTGTTAATGAGTTCGCAGTAGGAATCGGTAAAAGGCTGTTTGCTAACATTCATTGACCAATCAAATTTACTTTCATACCACACATTGCTATTGGTATGAGAGTAAATTTGATTGGTCAATGAATGTGAACAAACAGTCATCAACTTACTAACCACTAAATATGTGGTTTTTTTTTACCGATGTGATTTGAATTGACAGTTGCGTCTCTGTGCTAATGTGGAATGGCAATATGAAGTGATGTTGTATTTGACTGACTGATACATTACTATTACACATATATTGTTACTCAAATAATATAATGCATATTTATTTATACCAATCTAAAAAGTAATGATTTATTTATGATAACCTTTGTAGAGAAAATTTTACTCAAAATCGGAGGAACATTTTTACTGCAGACTAATCTTACTTTACATAATTCTAAAAAGCACAGGCACTTTTCACTTATTTCATCTTAAGATTCTCATGATGGACTGACTCGGATTAGAAAATCACTAGAAATCAAGAGGCTATGAATAGATTTTTCGGTCCAGTATGCGACTCCTCAACAATGAGGAACCACAACAACACCATTTACCGAACGTAGGACGTTTAAACCTCACGACAAGCTAAAAAAAACATTTTGGAGGTGTTAACCCATAGTTTCACAAAAAGAAACCAATACATTAGACTTAAGCTTTGATAGTTATCTTTAGTCCATTGACTCCCAATCTAATAGCATACATATATCATTACTTCTAATAATTTATAATCGACTGTGATCGCCAATCAAAACCAGTGTTTCAATCCGACCTTGGTTGACTTCATTGACCGCGGTTTACAAAAAAAACGTGTCAAAAGTATCATTTTTAAGTGAGTCTCAAGCTAAGAGACTGCCTAATACTCCTGTGATTTTTAAACGTTTAAAAAAACGCAAAATTCATTTTCTTTTCAGAATTTATCAAATTTTTTTTTTTGAATTTTACTGAAGCTATGAAGTACTGATTTTATCAACAACAACAACAAACAACTTAATAATTGATCACCTGAATTTTATAACAGTAAGCCTATCACTTGATTACTCAATTATTTTGGCTACGTATATATATATATATATATATTTACTGAATATAAATTAGCATTTGATCTAAACTAAATTCTTTTTATTGAAAATTTAACAAACATCTTTTAAACTGTTTATTGATTATGAGAAGTTAAGAGATTTTTTTAAAAAAATATTTTTTTTAATCACCTTAATGTTAAGATCGATATATTTCAAAAAAAAGAATAAAGCCTGTTAATCGTTGCTAAACGATTTACAATTCAAAGTAATTGATACAAATCTACAAGCATTTAAATACTTATATAATCTAAAAAAGTAATATTCCAGAAGTAATGTAATGTGGTTAGAGGTAGTCAACGAGTAACAATGGACCTAACATTTATGCTTGTTGGTACTATTTCCTGAGTCATACATGGAAACTTATGAAAATTATTCATTGAAAGATTTAGAACAGAAATCTGAATAAAAACACAAGTAGATAGTAATCTATTCTTTATCGACTGTATTATAAACACAGCAACTAAATGAATAACTGAGTTTATACTACCACTGAATTAGATATACTAGATCAGTACAGTACACAGAGACTAGATGATGTAAAAACGAGATATGCGATTCACGATTAAAATAAAGAATACAAGTAAGTGATAGACAATATTTTCTTCCATACAATAACAAGTAATCACATCTAATGAGTTACGAGAAATCAAATTAAATCGCATATTTAATAGTCGTCAGTGGGCTGTGTGTGTTTGATGATCGATCAATCACATTTCCTTGTTCACTAGCACACATTAATCTCTGATGTGAAGTTACCATTTCAACAAATCTTCAGAGTACTTAGCAGTTACTTAACAATCTGAAATGATTGCGAGTAATACTTTATGTTGTGACAGGTTGGGATTTTATTTAGTTACAGAAATTGATGAGTGTAAAGTCAGCTGCCTTAACTATAAGTTTTTTTGATCTGATTAAAGCAACTACAAAACCTGTATGGAACCATTTGTAAGAATCACCCTTCCATCTTAGCAAACATCCACAGAATCAGAATAAATAAAAAAATTGCTATTTTAATCAATTAGTTTTTGATATTATTTATAAATTAATCAAAATGCATTACGTAAGTAAACATCACCTTAGTCATTAAATGATATGATTACCTATATATATATATATGTTAAAGAAAAACACATTAAATCATTCCGCTTAAAATTTATCTTAAAGTGACTCATGGTTAAGTGTAGTACCTTGTCAAAGAATTTTTGGCAATTATAAAAGGGGGATATATATATATATATATATGTACATAGATGACATTTTTTTCAACAAATAAATAACATTTTGGACCATTTTGAATTTGCTGTGCAGCAAGGTAAATTATACATTGATTTTTAAGTGAACCAGACATTATCCAGGCTTTTACATTATGACTTTAAGAGAACAGTTTAATCTGATAGCTCTACTGTGTACAAGTACCAAGACACCTGGCTGATCAAAAGGAAAACATAAACAGCCGACGTGAATTTATAGTCAGCGTTTCGAGATACTGATGGAGAAGAAATGAAAGAATTATACAATGTATTGAGGAAATAATTGATAAACCATAAACCATAGAAAGGATTTACCGAACATTATTTGCATGATCACACATTTTAAATTTGTACATAAGTTTAAATTCAAATGGAGCAAAGTATGAACCTGTAAACAAAGTTTTAAGACAAGCAATCATGAACAAATAACGATTTTCACCAAGTCAATAAGCTATCGTATTCAGATAAATTTATTAAAAAAATATCAGACTCAAAATTATCTAAACAACTGAGACCAACAGAACATAGATTTAACAAGAATATGAAACTGCTTTTCTACAAAGGCGGATACGGACTCTTTTCACATACATAAGCTGACGTTTCATCAAAAACAGACATTTCTAACATAAAAACAACTTACTCAGTGTCATGAACACCTCTTATTCATGGTACAATGTATTTAAAAACTTTAAAAATATAATGGACATTGCAGTGAGGAAAAAATCACTGACATTACATATTGATTTCTCGATATATAAGTCCGATCACTCGAACAACCTAGAAGGAGACAGTTTTACACACAAGGTTGTAAAACACTAGTCATTTAAATATTAGAAAAAAATATCTAGTACCTATGAACAACCTAATGTTAAATCCATGTAAGCTTACAAAATTGAAAATTCTTCATTATATTTAGCGTGAAAAAGAAACCTGATGGTTTCATTGCTAAAGCACACTACATGTGTTCCTGTCTCTTGTTTGTCAATGACAAGTTCTACTTTCAAACCAAATTAAGCCTTGTATCACTTTCTTGGATACTTGCATTTAAAACTGTATAAACGATATATATATATATATATATATATTTACATATATTCTTGCGAAACACAACATGTTACACATACAGCATTAAGAGGTCATTTAAAAATATACAATGTAAAAATATATATATAATACCTACATGTTGCCAATATTACATTTTTTTCAATTTTTTACGGCGTTTTCTTTTCTTTAATTAAACAGCAGTAATCATTAGCATAAGCTTAAATTATCATGGGACTATCATGTGCTCATCATACATATA